CTTTAACTTTGGCATGGGTACATATATAATAATGCACTAGAATAGATATCAAATTATTTTATTTATATTTATATATATTTATTTTAAAATTTTAATATAAAAAGATAAAGATTATTCATATTAAAATTATATTTAAAAAATATTATTAAAAAAGTTAAAATATTTTATCATTCACAATAATGATAAAATTAAATCTATATTTTAAGTTAATATTTAGTTAGTAAAAATTATGTTATATATAGTGATTAAAAATTTATGATATAAAATAAGATATCCTTTACCTTTTTATTATTAGTTTCTATTTCACGTGCTTTAGTAATATAAAGTTCCCGTAATTGCGATTTTAAATCGCTATTCATTTCCAATTCCAGCAAAGCTTGAGAAATGCTGGCTTCGAACGCATCAGGTTCGGCTCCACCACTTTTTATGATTTTAGCATTTGCTGGAAACATCTTTAAAAATATTTAAAGGTTAACATCTATTCTTGTTTATAAATAAATACTTTATAAGTTTAGATAGCTTATGTATTCAATAGAAATTTTAATTAGATGACAAGTTTCATTTAAAATTGATTACTTAAGTAAAAACTTTAGAATTTCAAATAAAATATATACTGTCAAATATTGTTAAAGTATGTGTCAAATAAAATCCACTTTTATCACATTTTATATATATAATCCAAAAAAAAATATTAATTCATCTAATAAATTGCAATGTTATAAATAACATGCAAAGTATCATTTAATATTTTTTAATTCATTTTAACTTTGTTTTTAGTTAAAAACTAAACTGTTATTCGCGTGTACCTTGACGATATCAGCACCGCATGAAAAAGATCCAATATGTCCATAGATAGAAGTACCAACCATTCTATATATTTACAAAATATCTCTATATTTCTCTATATTTTTAATTAATTTAATAAATTCTTGATTAAATATATAAATCAATTTAATAATTTAAATTGATTAATTTTTAAGTAACATTATATTTTAATTTAATCATAATATTTTTATTATATATATATCGTAAAGATTTATTTTTCATAAAAAATATTTGTATTTTATGAAATCAAGTTATCTCAAAAAATAAATATGTATCTTTGATATAATTATTTAATATACATATATTTTATATTTAAAAAAATTAAATTAACTTTTTAAATAAAATTTCTTAATAAATTATAATTTTACATAAATATACTTTTATATTACATTTTAATTAATATGTAGTTTATAATTAATAAATCTTTTTTCTTAAATAATATTTAAAATTTATTTTCATTTTATATTTATCAATTTTTTTAATGAATTTTATTTTACAATTGTTTCTTATGTTTGTAAACTTGTAATATTAATTTGTATCTTACTTCAAAGTAATACAATCACATGTTATGCGTTAAATGTATAGTTTTTATATGTGATCTATTTATTGAGGTTAAAAGAAAGAAGTTTAAAAATATAAATATTTATAAATTATAAATATATATTATAATTAAAAATATGGTAGATATAGAACATTCAGGAAAAGAAGAACACAGAGAATCCTTCACTATTTTTGGAGAACCAGTAATCAAAACAAAATGTCAAAGAAATGCTTTCATAACTGCTATTACTGGTGGCATAATTTGTGGATTAATATCATTTTTAATAACAAGTAATTCAAGAAAATCTACACGAATAGGAATGGCTTCTTATGGTACAATAGGAATTAGCTATGCAATATATTGTGCAGTTGATGAAATTAATACAAGAAATGAATTAAAAAAACTTAGGCACCTTATGTATAAAACACCTAATTCGGATAATACTAGCAATAAAAAATTAGTTGATGTATGAAATATATTTGAAAGTGTTTGAAATTTTTATAAAATCTGTAAATAATAGTTATAATGTAGTTATGATAATAAAAAGATACAATAATATTTTTTTTATCAAAAATATAAATACAATAGTAAATATCAAATATTTAAAATGAATTATAAGTAAATATTAATAATAAAATATGTATAATTCACATTTTTGTTTTATTTATATTAATATTAATATAATTATTTTTTATATATTTTATACATTTATTTATTTATATTACTTAAATATTTTAACAATAAAATTAAATTTAAAT